TTAGTGAGGCCCCAAGTTCAATCCCTAGTAGAAAAATTAGGATCCATGCCAAGATTCTATCTCTTGAACATTCTAGAATTGATTTGTTTTGCCCACAATTTCTAGTTTTCCTGCTGTGCTGTCTGTCTGTCTGTCCCAGAATTGCACTCTCCTGGAATCCACCACAAGCCAGAAACCAGAGATAGAGAGGTGAACTCTGGAAGGCCCCGAGAAGAGTGCCTCAGTTGCTTAACTTGTAAAACAAAGATAAATGGGTTACCTCACTGGACCAGTGCAGAGATCTATCTAGACAGAAGACGCGAGAGGAATCAGGGCCTCGGGAAGTAGACAGTACAGTCAGGCCTGGCCGCACACACCTGTAATCCCAGCTTACTTAGGAGGCTGAGGAAGAGCTCAAGGTCTGTCTGGGCAGCAGAGTACATTGAAGGGGCCAGCCTGGGCAACCCTATCTCAAAATCAAAGTTTAAATAAAGGGCTGGGCATGGTGGCACACGCCTGTAACACCAGCTTTCAAAGGCAGAGGTCTGAAGATAGCCAGGCTTGTTTACATCTCATGGTCAGGCCAACCAGAGCGGAAAAGACCTGGTCTCCAGGCTGGAGCGATGGCTCCGCCCTTGAGAGTATGGAGGACCAGAGTTCCAGTTCCCAGTTGCACATACCAGCTCCAGCTGCGGCCTCGACCTCTGTAGGCATGTGTGCACAGAGGGCTGAGACATGGCTCAGCAGGCACGTGCCTGTTCTTCCAGAGGACAGGAGGAATTCAGTTCCCAGTATCCGACAGGAAGAGGATCCTTTGGCAAATGCACCATTTGCCAAGACCCTCATTTCTGGTTCTGAGCAAAGCTGTTCCCAGCGCTGTTGTGGGTGGCAGGGACACTTTGACCGCCAGGGGGCGCGCGTCCCCCGCGGGCCCAATGGCTGAGCTCAGGCCCGGGGAATGCGAGGCGGGCCCGGGCAGGTGCACAGCTCCCCGGGGCCAGGGAGCGGGGCGAGCCAGGGGAAGCAGAGCCTCTGTTCCCAGGCTCCTGTCCCTGCCCTCCACCCTCAGGTCTTCTTCCTTGGGCTCCTCTCCAATTCTAGCTTCCCCTTCAACAGGCTGCCATCTCTGCTCCACCCTTAGGTCTCAAGACCTTGCCCGGCCTCCTCTGCACCCCAGCCAGGCTCTCAGAGTTGAAGGATCTTATTGGGCTTCCTGAAGGAGTCAGTGGGATCCAGGTCACGAATCGGGATGGGCTGGGAACACCCAAAGTGTAATCCTCCACTCTAGCCGGGTCAGACTTGATGTTTGCCTCTGTGGAATGGGCTAGGGACTTCCCCTAGCTAACCCTCGGCCTTGAGCTAGTTATTGTGACATCTTCTTTCTCCCTCGGTTTCTGCGTGCGTGCGTGCGTGCGTGCGTGTGAGTGTACGTGCGTGTGTGTGCGTGCGTGCGTGTGTGTGTGTGTGTGTGTGTGTGTGTGTGTGTGTGTTTGGGGGGATTAATGCCTTCACCCAGAGGAGTTGTAAGTGTTGGAGGACCTAAATTATACAGTGTTTACAACAGTGCAATTTAAGGACTGAATGTCTCGCATCTTGTACTGTTATTCTACCAGCCTTCCTCCATGGTTCTCTAGGGTAACACAGATGAGCACTCAGGACACTGAGGCAGGAGGATCTCTAGTTCAAAGCCACCCAGGGCTACATAAGCGACACTGTCTCCAACAAACAAGAGCTGAACTTCAGCTCCCAGCAATAGAGTGGCTTATGTAGCTCGCACACGGGCAGGCTCAGAGCCAGGGACGAAAACCCAGGCGCTGTAGATTCTTCCAGAGACTTTTCTGTGAGGGCTCTTGGTTGGTTGGTTTGTTTACATAGCCCTGGCTTGTCTGGATCTATGTAGACCAGGCTGACCTGGAATTCAGAGATCTGCCTTTCCCTGCCTCCCTAGTGCTAGGATTAAAAGTACCACCACGTCCCACAGTGGTTCTGGTTTTGTTTGTTTGTTTTTGTTTCTCAGTGTACTCTGAGCTGTCCTGGAACTCACTCTGTAGACCAGGCTGGTCTCGAACCCAGCGATATGCCTGCCTCTGCCTCCCTAGTGCTGGGATTGAAAGGCGTGTGTGCCACCCCTACCCAGCATCCATGGTATACTTAAACTTCCAATCCTCCTGCCTCCACCTCCCAGTGCTGGAAATACTGACATGTAACATGACAGTCTGGTTTATTCAGTTCTGGGGACCGAACCCCGGGGATTCCTGCATGCTGCATGAGCGGTCTACCCTCTGAGCCCACATGCCAACAACCCCTTCTTTCTGCGATTCTAAGAGCCCTGGCTCTGTTGCCAGTGGTCCCAACTGCCTGAGTTTTGGACCACAGAACCCTAAACTTCCCACCGGCAACAGTGATTTCCCCAGGAATGCAGGGCTCCGGCAGGGTGAGAACCCTGGAAGATTCCAGACAGAAACTGGCAAGATCCCAGGGTGTGGGTGGTGTGTGTTTGCCAGCCTCAGTTTCCCCAATGCTAGGGAGGAGTCCTCCCCGGGGTCAACAAACTGAAGGTGGAACTCGGTGTTCCTGCCTTTGGGAGCTTGCCAAATGCTTCTGTGGACGGGGAGATCCATCCCGACCTGAACCCGGCAGGACTGTGCTGGCAGCTGGGACTATTATTTTTTAATTTCATTTCAGGCTGTCAGCGGGTGTCCTTCCAGGCATTAACCCTCCCTCTTCAGATCCTTGTCCCCCACTGGGCTTCTAAACACACACACACACACACACACACACACACACACACACACACACACACACCCCACGTAAGGGCCCAGAGGTGGAGAGACAGAGGGAATCGCCTGCCTGCTCCTGCCCTCTCCCAGGCTCAAGGACAGACAAACACCTCCAGAATTAGCCTCCATCCCTCCCTTATCTCCCACAATACCTCAGGTCAGACAGATGGAAGTGGAGGTGACATTTCTCACCTCTGGGTCAGAGGGAGGAACCCCACCCCGGGAGGAAGAAGGCCAATTAGAAGGATCTGGTGGGAGTGAAGGAATTCTTTCCACAGACAGCTGTCAAGGAGGGAAGGAGATCGCAAACTCAGCTGCCTGTATGGCCCACCAGCCTCGGTTTACCCCTTTAGTTCTGTGTAAATGCAGCAGTACGCGGTCACACAAGCCTCCCGAATCCAGCCCCGCGGTCCTGTTATTCTAGCCTGGGCTCTACAATGACCTCAGCAAACCCCAGTTATTTCCCACCCCAGTGGGGCAACAAGAGGTCCGACCCCGTCTCCGCTAGGGGGCGCCTTGGGTCGGATGTGCCTCTCTGGTTAGGCAGGTCTGACGCCCCGGTTAATGACATGTTGGGGATTCGCTCAGCGGCACAGAAGAGCTGCCCCGGTTTCTCATCCCCTGCCCCCACCCCAAAACCAGAAAGTGGGGTGTAGCGCCGGGACATAGCCTCAGAGGGACCCACGTTCCCCCCGCTCCGTGCTCGTCCCACCCTTTTCAAAAACCAGAATCCACCACCAGTGCCACTATTTGACGCAAAGATCTAGTGGCTCGGTGCTGAAGGCAGCTGGAGGGCGCCCGGGCGCCCAACCCTCCTAGAACGTCCTAACCTCCCACATCTACCCAAAAGTCAGAGACCCGAGACCCCCAACATCCCCCGACACACTTCCAAGAGCCCCCCAATTAAAGTATTCAAGAATTCCAGCTCCAGTGGCTCCCCAGGACTAAAGGCTCCGAGTACTCCTATGATCTCAGGAGCCCGAGACCCCATCCATACGCCCGGTGAAGCCGGCACCCCAGATGCCTCTTTCCAGGGACCCAGGCGTGAGCGCCCCACATTTTGCCCCGGGACTTAAGGTCCGAGGTCCCACCAAGTGCTCCCAGGGACGCGGTGTCAGGTTCTAGGGTGGCAGACCCCAGGTGGGGTGGAACTCACGCGTCCGGGGCAGATCCTGGCACCAGATCCTGGCACCGGGGGGCTTTTCCTCGGGCTCCGGCTCCGGCTCCAGCGGCGGGGAGCGGAGGACGGGGCGGGGCAGTCGCCGGGGAACAGGTTAGACGACGTGACTCTGACTGGAGGGGGGCGTGTCCCGCAGGGGGGGGGGAGAGCTGCGGTCGCCTCGAGCACCCTGGGATTTGTAGTCCCGGAGGGGCGGGGCGCAGCCTGGGACATTCCCTTTTGGAGTCAGGCACGATCCATTTCACAGACAGCAAGAGCGAGGACCAGAAGATCGAGGGCGCCCTGGCGGGGAAATGCACAGGAGTCCAGACCCCCACTTCACTGCGGGTGCAGGGGAAGAACTCCTGAGCCCTTCCCCACTCTCCAGGCTCAGTTTCCCAGGCGGGGACAAAGTCACACGACCCAATACTATGGCGAGAAAAGGACCCGAGCCCCGGCTTACCTGTCTACATAAAATAAAAATAAAAGTAAGGGGCCTTTAATCTTAGCACTCGGGAGGTCAGAGTCAGGGGCATCTCTGCGCGTTAGAGGCCACCCTGGGCTACACAGGAAGACCATGTCTCAAAAACAAAACAGCACAAAAACCCGCGTTGGCGCTTTACTGGCGTGCCTAGCAACAGGCTGGACTACAACCCCCAGCAGCAATCCCGAGCCAAGTCCCCCTCCGGCCACCTCTGGGAACTGGAGTCTTGGAGCCCTCAAAGGGCGAGCCCCAGAGAGTCCAGCCCACGCGCGGGGAGGACACACAGCCTGGGGATCCCGGGCCGAAGGAACCCTCCCCTGTCTCCTTGGCCCCCTCTGGGTTCCCGAGAGCCGCAGGAGAAGGGGGAGCATCCCAGTTCTGGGGGAGTCTCCGAAATCTCCGCAGAGGGGGCGGGACGCGACGCTGACACACCGGCCAGGAATGCAGTCGGGTCACCCTGTCTCGCCGCCGTCCCGCGGCTCCACCCGCCGCCCCACGCGCTGCAGGACTGCTGGGAAGGGGCGTGGGCGCGTCCCCCAAACCCCGCGTCCACGTGCAGCTGTTTACTTGGGCCGCGGGCCGAGGAGGGGTCGGCCAGCTGCACCTCTGCCTCCCCCGGAGCGGTGGGGATCACTTCCCGCTCAGGACGCTAAGTCCACACCCTCGGGTCTCACACGACCCACTAACCCCCACTCCGTCTGGAGCCGAGCTCCGGGCTCTGGGGTCCGAGACTCCTCCCCCGACCCCGAGGACTCCTCCCCCTCGGTTTCCCGCTTACCCCAGACACTCCAGAAACTCCGCCTCCCGTCGGTACTTTAAATGCTCCGATGGTCCGCACTCCTCTATTTTCTCGTCCACTCGAGCCTTCCGCTCTCGCCGTGTCGGGGACGTCCCCAAACACACTCTCGCTTTGAAAGCACAAGCCTGCCAACCGGAATTCTCACCTGGCTCCCACAGGAATGTCTGCACAGTCGGCCTTCTGTCTCTTTAAGAGCCGTGGCCTGGCTGGGTCACTGCCCCTTTAAGACGGTGTTGGAAGAAACCACGTGAGCAAAAGTGGGGGGGGGAAGCGGGTCCTCCGAGACCCGACCTGGCTTGCTCTCCCCACACCGAGTGACTTGATTCCCCCCGGTAGTGGATCGTCGGGAAATCAGTCATTCCTCCGCTGTGTGCCGTTCAAAAGTGGAGACTGGCTCGGTTCCGTAGATGGAGTGACAGGGGCCGAGCCACGCCCCCACCCTCCCACGCGACTTGGACGCTTCCGGTGTGACTCCACCTCCGGGGTCCGCGTGGTGGGCCGCGATCGGCGCAGGTCCGGCGTGGGCTCCTCCCGAGTGGGGATGGCGGGCACCCCGGCCTCCGGTGAGTGCAGCGGGAGCCGGTGCAGGGGAAGGGGGCCCGGGAGGATCCGGGCACAAAAGGGACTGGGTGGGGGGCCCGCGGGGAGGGGACGCCCCGGGAGGCACCTGGCAGTGTCGAAAGGACCTACACCCCGTTTCTCCTCGCAGGTGCCGCTCCGTTCTCCTGCCCCCCCAACTTTACGGCGGTTTCTCCAAACTCGGGTTCCCCTCGTTTCTCCTTGGAAGCTTTGACACTTCCAGACACGGAACTGTGGCTCATCCGAGCGCCTGCAGACTTCGCCCCACAGTGGTGAGTGGTCGTTCCCAGGACACCTCCTGGCAGTACCCCCCACCCCACACACACCCTAGGGGCTGGACCCACCCCAGGCCGTGAACGTACAACTTAAGACAGCAAATCTGAGCAACGCGGAAGTGCTACTTTGTGTTAGCCTCATTCTGTAGCCCATTCCCACAAGCCGGCCACCTCCGATCCCTGCCGGTTTTCGGCCTTGGTTCTTGAGTACTGGGTCTACAAGTGGGTGTCATATACTCCCTTTTGTTTTGGAGAATCGGGTTTGTTGTTGTTGTTGTTGTTTGGTTGGTTGTTTTTTTTCGAAATAGGGTTTCTCTGTGTAGCTTCAGAGCCTGTTCTGGAACTCCCTCTGTAGACCAGCTGACCTCGAACTCACGGAGATCGCCTGCCTCGGCCTCTCAGTGCTGGGATTAAAGGCGTGCACCATTACAGCTCAGCTTGTTTTGGAGAATCTTATGTCCCATGCAGTAATTAAACTTCAGATCCTCCTGCCTCCACCTCCCAAGTACAGCCACCGCACCCCGTTTTATGCAGTGCTGGTGATCAAATCCAGGGCCCATTCATGCTACACACACACACACACACACACACACACACACACACACACTCACACACACTCCACATCTGAGGCTCATCCCGTATCCCTGCTCACCTTAAATATTCCTTAGCCAGTAATGGGGGGCAGTAGGCTGAGGCAGGAAAATGGTAGGCTTCAAGGCCATCATGAGTACACAGAGTCTGTCTCAAGAAACAGCCAGGAGCCCAGCAGTGGCGGCACACGCCTTCCACCAGCACTCAGGAGGCAGAGGCTGGTGGATCTCTGAGTTTGAGGATGGTCTTGAGCCTGGTCTACAGAGTGAGTTCCAGGGCAGCTCAGACTACACAGAGAAACCCTGTCTTGAGAAACCAAACAATAAAAAGAAAGCAAGCAAGCCGGGAGTGGTGGCCCATGTCTATCTGAAGTCCCTGGGAGGCGGTGCAGGCTGGTTAGGAGTACTAGACGTCACGCAGACCCCACACAACACAAGTTGATTAGTTAGTTGAGGCAGCAAACAGAACTCGGGGCTCCAGGGCGGAGCTTCACCCTCGCCCAGAAAAGCTGCGTGGGGCCCCAGCCTTCCGCCCTGCAGAGGATGCAGTCAGCCCCTGCCTTATCCTTTCTCTCCTCAGCCTCAATGGAAGGCACGTGCCTCTCTCTGGCTCCAAGACTGTTAAGGGCAAACTGGATGGCCAGAGGTGCCGATACCGGGTCCTGACCAGCAGCCCCCAGGCGGGAGAAGCCACCTTGCTGGTGTCGTCATCGGAGGCAGGAGGTAGACTCACTTGTGCCCCAGCCCCCCATGGAAGCTTAAGGATCATGGAGGGTCCTCAGAAATACCTGATCTCTCGGGTCCCTCTGCAGCCCATCCCCACCAGCCTGCCACCTCAGATCCCTGCCGGCCTCCGGCCTCGGTTCTCTGCCTTTGGAGGCAGCCCTCCGGTCACGGGGCCTGGGTCGGTCCTGGCTCTGAGGTCGCCCACTTCAGGGAAGAGGAAAAAGAAGAGAAAGGTCGCAGAGGCCTCAGCCATTCAGGAGGCAGTGAACGGGCATGGGGCCACGGAGGTAGACACGGCCTGGGGTGGCTTAGAAGTGGGTATGAGGAAAAAGAAGAAAACGAAGCATCAGGTGGGTGAGGTAGAGATGATGGAGGCCGAGGCGATGGAGCCCGTGGCAGAGATGGCAGAGCCTCTGGGACTGCCAATCCCATCTGCCACCAGCAGCAAGAAGAGGAAGAGCAAGTCCAAGGGGGCAGAGACATGCCAGCCGGAACCTGTGGCGGAAACACAGCCTGCTGATGGGACCGTCCTGTCCCCCACCAAGAAGAGGAAGAGACAGAAGGAGGCCGAGGGGATGGAGGCAGCCGAGGGCACCATGGCTGGCTCTCAGCCACAGGCCGCTGAGGAACCCCAGGAGGAAGCCATCCCACTGCCTCCCACAAAGAAGAGGAGAAAAGAAAAGAGGCAGAATTTGGTGATGGAGCCAGAGATGGGGCTCCCTGGAGTGATCATAGAGCCTGAACTTTCAGAACAGGGGCTTCAGGCTGAGGCAGCGCCTGTGTCCCCCAAGAAGAAGAAGAAGAAGAAGGAAAAGTGGCGGGGTGAGGCACTGGCCTCGGGGGCAGAGGTGACAGAGGCTGCGCTTCCAGCTGACTTTGAGCCGCAGGTGGCTCCAGCACCCAGCAAGGAGAACGAGAAAGGAGAGGAGGCGATAGAGCCCCTGTCGGAGATGACTAACCCAAGAGAATCTGAGGAACCTGAGGCCGGAGCAGCTCAGGGATCCACAAAGAAGAAGAAAAAGAAGAAAAAGGATCAGGAACGTGGGGTGTAAGGACCGTTCCCCACTGAGAGATGTCTCCCACAGGACAGGAAATAGAGCCGAAGAGCCCCAATAACACCCTGGGGAACCGAGGTGGCCTCGGGAGGGCTGTCAGGAATTGGCTGCGGGGAAGAGATGAGCCCTTCCCTCACGCAAACACGCCAGTACATCCAGCAGGAGCCTGAGCCTGGAAAACGCTTTATTGTGACTCTGGAGCCTGGGTGGCAGTGGTCATCGGGGCACTTTGAGGAAGGGCTCGTGTAGGACGTCGAAGAGCCTGCGGGCCTAAGGGCAGGGAGGGAAAGGCTTGTCATTAAAGAGGCTGCTGCTTACTTTTCTTAGAGTGCATTGTGGCTCTTTTTCTCCTAGGGTGGGGCTTTGCAGGTCTGGGTTCTACTTGAGACTAGCCAGGAGGCTGGGCTCTGCCACCCTTTGGGCCTCAGTTTCCCCATGTGTGAGAGGGGCAGATGCAAACGGACCATTTAGAACCGTAAGACTAGTCCATTGTGGTGGCCGCATCTTAACTCCCAGCACTCTGAGGCAGACACAGGTGGATCTCTGAGTTCCAGGACAGCCTGGGCTACGCAGAGCAACCCTGTCTTGAATAAATGAATAGAATAAGGCAGGAGGGTGGCACACATGGCACACACCCTGTAATCTCAACATTTGGGAGGGAGGCTGAGTCCGGAAGATGAGAAGTACAAGGCCAACCTCAGCTATGTATTAAGCTACATAAGAAAGTCTCAAAAAATCAAGTAAAAGAAACAAAGCCTTATTTGCCTGGGCTGGCCCAGCTAGCTGTCTAGCCAAGGATGACTTTGAACTTCAGATCCTTCTGTCTTATCCAAGTGGCCACCATGCTTAGTTTAGGCAGTGCTGGGGATCCATCAGGGCTTTGTGCATGCTAAGAAAGTGCTCTACCAATCCAGTTACATTCTCAGCCCCCAGAAAAACTTTCACGGAGCCTTTAAACCAAGCATGGTGGCTCATGCCTGTGATCTCAGCAGGAGAAGCCGGGGGAGCTGAGTCCAGGCCCATCCTGGTCTATAGTGAGACCCAGGCCAGCTAGAGCTCTATATTAAGACCATGTCTAAAAGCAAGTCACTTAATACAGTGGTTCTCAACTTCCTAACACTGTGACTTTGAATACAGTTCCTCATGCTGTGCTGACCCCAACCATAAAACTATTTCCTTGCTACCTCATAACTGTGCTACTGTTGTGAATCACAGTGTAAATATATGTGTTTTTCTGATGGTCAGGTGACCCCTGTCATTTGACACCATCCCCCCCAAAGGGGTCACGACCCACAGGTTGAGGACCACTGATTTAACAGACTTTCCAGGTTCACTGATTTGGGGCTCATCCCCCCTCCAACCCCTGTATCCTCCCCCAGAGTTCTCACCTTCTGGGGGCCCAGACCCGGGCACAAGGCTAGATCCTCCCGTGACGCAGTGAAGAGCTGTTCGAGGGACTGAAATGTGGAATCGAGGGGTTAGGGGCAGTGCGCTCCACACTCTAGCCTGTCCCTGCTGCAGGGGCCCCAGGATGTCCCCGGGGAGGTGTGGGACTGTGGGGAGGTCAGGGGACGCCCAGGGGGCCTCTTACTCCGAACGTAGCCAGGAGGGTCTGGCTGTCGGTCTTGTTGACTGACTTCACGGTGGTCAGACACTCGGTGGCCTGGAAGAGAAAGAGACAGGGTCTTTCCTTGGGACCTGGGTGTCAGGACAGCCTATGAGCAGTGCTTGGAAGGCAGGTGCAGGAGGATTCCCGAAAGACTGAGGCCAGCCTGGTCCACGGCCGAGATACTGACTCCAGAAGCAAAAGGAGGCTGGAGAGATGGCTGGTCGATTAAGAGCACACTCCGCCCTTCCAGAGGACACAAGTTCAGTTCCAAGCACCCACCCTGGGTGACTCACTTTTTGAGACAAGGTCTCCAGGTGTATCCCTCCCTGACTGGCCTACAACTGGGTAGCCCAGGCTGGCCTGAACTCCTGGAGATCCACCTGCTTCTGCCTCTCTGGTGCTGGGGTTAGAGGCGTGGCCCGGACTGCTGGCTTTTCACATGGCTGGACGGGCAGGGCCGGGTGACACCAGCTCCCTGTCAGGTAAGTCTCTGTTCCCTCTGCTTCCCCTGGGAAAAGGGGAGCACCTTCCCCAGGGTTACACTCGATGTGGAGCCAGTGTAGGAAGGGTGGGTGCAGCTGTGGACGCAGCCCCTCGCTGCCAGTGGGCCCTGTGGCTGGACCGCTTCCCAGGGGAACACCCAGAAAGATAAATGCAGAATCCCTCATAAGCGCTGGAAGTTATCGATTCGTTTACAAAATAACATCCAAGAGGCCGCTGGGTGCTGTTGCAGTGACAGCAGGGTCAGGATGCTTCCAGCCTGGTACTCTGGGCTACCAGGCTGAGAGGACGAAGGAGGGCTTCCTGGAGGAGGCAGCATCAGAGCTGGCATGGGAAACAGATTCTAGCAGAGGGAATGGGGTGGTAGATGCCGAGGGCAGCCTAGGAGTCAGAGCTAAGCGGGACAAGGTCTGGTTTGTACTTGAAAGACCTTTCGGGCTGGTAGGAGAGGATGAGGAAGGGCTGGGCAGGGAAGGAGGGTGTCAGTGTGGATGGACTTGCTTTGAACAGGCCACTTCAGGGTCAGGAGGTGCAGAAGAACAAGGGAGGCGGTCTCACCCGGGACAGGAAGTTCTGCTCCAGCTTCTCCATGAGGAGGTCGGCGGGCTTCTGCTCATAAGCCTTGTAGGTCTCCAGGTACCGCCCTGCTTCCTCCGCGCTGGGTACAGGACACAGGTCAGCTGGGGTGGGGGCTGTCATTCAGGATTCTCCATCATAGGACTACTAACAATTCCAAAACTAGGCCAATCCCAGCCCCAAATCCTGACCTCAGCAGTGACCCCTACAGAGTAGGTTCTCACACACTTCTTACCTAGTCATGCTGGGGACAGAGCCCAGGATACAGTAGAGCTACACACTCCACCACTGAGCCACGCCCCACCCCTCACTGGGGGATTCTAGGCAGGGACTCTACCACTGAGGCACACCCCAGCCCCTCACTGGGGGATTCTAGGCAGGGGCTCCACCACTGAGGCACACCCCAGCCCCTCACTGGGAGATTCTAGGCAGGGGCTCTACCACTGAGCCACACCCCCAGCCCCTCACTGGGGGATTCTAGGCAGGGGCTCTACCACTGAGCCACACCTCCAGCCCCTCACTGGGGGATTCTAGGCAGGGGCTCCACCACTGAGCCACACCCCCACCCCTCACTGGGGGATTCTAGGCAGGGGCTCTACCACTGAGCCACACCCCAGCCTCTCACTGGGAGATTCTAGGCAGGGGCTCTACCACTGAGCCACACCCCCAGCCCCTCACTGAGGGATTCTAGGCAGGGGCTCTACCACTGAGCCATACCCCAGCCCCTC